TTATCTCGTAATTTTCAATTAGGTAAGACAACCGTTAGGAGTAGTCACACTTCACTGCTCACAACACCTGTGAAATTGATATCAATTTGTATTATGAACTGCTTTGATAAACTGAGAACATAATGACTTGTCTGTTTACTAGGCTACTATTTATGTATTATTAAACATACAATTATCAGGACTAACTAAACTTGTTTTTTAGAGGCAGTTTAGATAAAAAAATACATTATATTTTATTCATGGTACAACATGATAATGTTATCTTAAAATAAAAGAAAGTTTTGTTGTTGTTGGAGGGAGGGTAATGCAATGCCCTATTAAACTCAATATATTTTTTGTTGGAGTCATCAAATTTAGCTTGAACTTAATCTTGAGACTATTTAAATTTAAAAAAAAAATCTTACTGAGACCATTGATGTCCAAAACACATCTTTCTTTAATATTCCAAGATGTAGTATTTTAAAACACAGAACTTACATAAAATTGGAAAAGAATTTTTCTTGAAAAAAGATGAACCTCTTTTCAAAGGTCACCTCTCTATAAAGGTCACTTTTGGTGGTTCCCGCAGGTGACTGCTTAATACAGGTTTGACTGTATACAGTCTGGGAGTGAATTATTGGATTCAATTTTTATGTGCATTGCTAAAAAATGTCTTTTTTGAAATGAAGATGTTAAAGATGAGATGGAAGATGATGATGAAAGTGAAGATGAAGAACAGGTCAGTGAAGATGATGAATCTGATGATGAAGATATTCAAGGATACACTGATGATAATAAACTGTGGCTAAAACCTTCCAATCGGAAAAAGGTACATTTTCATGAGTAGTGATGAATTTTATACACAAGGAAAGCAGAGTCTAAATAAACAAATTGAACATGTGAGCAGCTGTTTACCATGACATATTATCAGAATAAATCCTTAAGACAATTCTGTAATGAATTGAGTGAAACTTAAATTTTATGTGTCTATGCATAATTAAAACAGGATGCTGATGACAGTGAATCTGAAGGAGAGGAAGAAAGTGAAAGTGATGATGAAATGGCTGATGAATTTGATAGTGATGAAGAGGACGATGAAGAAGATGAAAATGATGAAGGGGTAACCATCGATAATCAATCTTCTTTGCTTTATATCAGACATGCTCACGAAATTTCTCCATAATGCCTTATTATTTTGGAAGCTTATGTATCTTAGGGCAATTTCCAAGTTAATAACATTTAAAATTCAAAATTTTGGTTTAAGTTTAGTGGTTAGTAAATATAAAAAATCTTATTTGACTGAAAAAAAAATTATTCACTCATTAGACTTTATTTTTCACTGTGATTTATTTATTATACCCCCGCAAACGAAGTTTAGGGGGGTATATTGGAATCAGCATGTCCGTCTGTCTGTCCGTCTGTCCGTCTGTCTGTAGACGAGATTTTGTCTGGACCATTTCTTGGAAACTGTTGCAAGGATTTCTCTGAAAATTTGTACACTTATTATTTGCCATATGAAGGTGTGCACCTGGTATTTTCATCATGATTGGATAATTTTTTGGCATTTTACAGGTGTTTTTTTTCATTTTTATTATGTGGTTTTGTCCGGATCTGTTCCCAGAGACTATTGCATAGATTTGTATGAAAATTTGTACACTTATTATTTACCATATGAAGATGTGCACCTGGTATTTTCAACATTATTTGATATTTTTTCTGCATTTTACAGGTGTTTTTTTTTTTTTCATTTTTATTGACTTAGTCATTTCGGGTTCATGTCTAAGGTTTGAGACATAGAATCTAGAACAACTGTACAAAAATGTGAACTACAGCTTAAAACTACTTATCAGAACTAAAAAAAAAATCACAAAATATTACAAACAGTTTTTACTTCACACAGCAGATAGTGTAAATCTATTTGTCCCTTTGGAGTAATGAGTGGACATGCATCCAGTGAAAGATTAATTAATGAGTTCAGTGTGGGAAGCTGTTAGGGCATCTCTGATCAAGCAGGTCTTATCAATATCTCCTGGGAATTGGGCAGAAAGAAATAAAGATCTCTGTTGTCTAAGCCTCTTAATTGTAATTTATGTCTGTCAAAATACATAGTTACTGAAACCAGCCTTTTATTTTTAAAATGAGTTTGATATAAAGGTATTAAGATCAATTTGACTTTGTTTAATTAATTATGATATTTTTTTTTCAACAATCAATTTGCAGAGTGTCATGTCTCACAAAGATGACAGATAGCTGCAAACTTTTTTTTCAATGTAATTAAAAACACTGTAATTATTAGTATTGATGTTTTATTAGGCTGCACATTAGTTTCATTCATTAAAAAAAAATATAATGAGTAATTAAATTTTCACTCTAAATGTTTAAGCAAGTTTTGAACACCTCTCACATCTAGAAAACATTAGTGATTTGGTACCTTCTCTGAAAAACCCAGCGGGGGTATTTGTCCCATTTGGACAGTTCTAGTTTTTCTTGAAAAATGTACATGTAGAACATAAATGATTTACATATTTTTAGATGTTACCCATAGAAAAAGCCACAAAGAAGTTGAATAAAAAGCAGGAGAAAGAAAGGTAAAATGTCTACAACCAATATTCTATGTGATAATATGCTCGATATTTCTTGTGAAGTGTTTTAAATTTAATCTGTTTACTTTGAACTTTGATGAAGACGATGATGTACAATGACATACCAAATACGTAGTATATCTTTAATATTCATGGACTGCTTATTTACTGAACAGGAAACTAGCAGAGGCAGAGCTTCAGACCAACATATCAGAAATGGAGAAGTACACACTTCCCAGTGGCCAGGAAATCGAAAAAGAAAATATCCTTTTCTGCTCAATAGTGATATTTATTTACTGGATCTATAAGGATTTCAGTTAATATTTAGTCCAAAATGATATACAAGTGTTTCTTTGAAAGATGGGTCTAAAAATTATAGTCTGATGAACTGAATTAAAACCTTTGCAATGTTACAAAACAGCTACACTCTGAAAATAAAAGTTTCTGTTTGTAAATATAGAGAAGCAAGACTGATCTCAAAGTATGATTTCTTTTCGAATGTTGATTGTGATGTTTAGAACATTCCTTTGTAGTGGTATAGGCTATTTGGGCCATGGATATCAACCAGGATTGCTCAGTGGATCTATTACCTGACTAGTGATGTCCTGGGCCAGATTCGTGGTCCAGTCAAAAATTTTCTCCTTTCCTGTTACACATTAGGCCTGAAAGCTGTATGGTCCATGAGTGTGATGTATTTTTTTAACCATGGAAATTATTGTCTAGGTCTGTTTATCACATGTTCAAATGACCAAAAAAATATCGGATTCCTTTCCACTTATCCTATGTTTTGTGTCTAAGTTGTAATTAAAGAAAGAATTCTTTGATTACAAAGTTAACAAAACTCAGAATATTCAATGTAAAGATCTTCAAGAACAATCACGTGACCTTTCAAAAGTATAACAAGGTACACAAAAGTTTGTTTACTGGTAGAATTTAACCACCTATTTACCTCATACCTTGTTCAAAAACATTGTTTATTCAATAAATTAGACTATTTGGCCACTGCTCTTCTGCGTCCTGATACCATCAAAATAACCAGCTTTATACAACTCCTTATATGCACTCACGAAATCTCGTGTTTATGACTGAAGCAAAACTAACAAGAGATGTTTGTGAAACACTTATCCCCCCCCCCCCCCCCCAATAATTGGAATTTTCCTAAGTCCAAGGGGCATAAATGTGTCAAAAATTGCTTTATTGTACCCAAAACAGAACTTGACCAAGATATTCTTATGATTAATCTGTATACAAATTTATCATAAGAATGTCTAGGTCAAGTTCTGTTCTGGGTACAATCGAGCAATTTTTGACAGAATTATGCCCCTTGGACTTAGAAAAATTCCAATTATTTGCAGTTTACATTCATTTTCTTTGCAAAGGTTTCACATACTGAAATGAAATTTGGTATACAGATTATTTGTGGGGGTGGGCATAAGTGTTTCACAAACATCTCTTGTTCTCTGGAACAGATGCAAACTACTAGAGTGTGTAATTTTCAGAAAGTGAGAAACTTTTACATTGTAAATGAATGATGGTGGTAAATCTTAATTTTCTGAGATAAAAGTGATCGGATCATACAGCTTTAATTATTTAGGTAGATCCACACCCTTACATAATGGTCAGAATTTTCATCTCATACAACATCAAGAAGTTCAGTTCCTGATGAATCCAGAGTCAGGACTATTTAAAAGCTACTCTTAGCAAAGAAATGATAAGAAAATTTGTACAAGACACAAAATCCGTGAAAACCCTCATAGGATACAAGTTCTTGGTGAAATACTCCTTTTTGAGGTCAAGGTCACATAAAAGATCAAAGACCTGCTTCCATTATCCAGAGAAAAAAAACATTCTGACTCGGAGGAAAAGTGTTTATTTGGTTGACAAAAAGTTAAGAACAGTCTATGACCTTAACATGTTTACGCCAGCAAACACCAGACCTGCAAGTGATACAACAAAGAATTAAAGAGGTTCAACATGTACTAGGAGACTTTAAGAGTAGGAGAGAATCAGGCAGGTAAGTGTACAGGGAATGGAGATGGTAGTGAACGATTTTCAGTTGCTGGTAATAATCAATACACGCCCACAAATAATGGCTGGGGAGTCCTAGAATCCGGTTTGTCTATCTAGCTCTGTATCTATCCATGTTACTTTAGATTGTCTTTAAAACTGCACTATGGTGTGATGTGTTAAATTATTATTCATACTATAATTTTGTAATGAAATAACTTCAGAATGTAAGAGCTCTCAAGGTTGATTATGATCATAGGATATGTCATGACCCTGATAAAAAGGTCATTTAAGCAATGTCAAGGTCATGGAGTTCAGAATGTCAAATTCTGAAGGTCTCAGTAATGTCAAATTAAAAAAGAAAAAATTTTTGTAATGGATGAGCATTAAGAGGTCATACTTGGGTCAAAGGTTCCTTTTAAACTAGGAGGTGGTCATGATTCTATGACATAGATCTTTGTACAAGGTCAGCATCTTATGACTCATAAATGTTCCTTGGGCTGTGAAATTTTAATGCATGGACTGTGAATGGTCACAAAGGTGTTACATCTTTTAACCAATTTGAAATATTTTTTGGCAAGATACAGGCATTGAAATTTGAAGTAAAATTTTCTTCAATGGTGTTGGAAAAGTATATCAGGCTATTTTAAAGTATACATGTATTTTATAGTGTCCTTACAAGTGTATATCAGTCCTGTTAGGACGTTATAGTCTGTTAATTACTAATTTCCATTTAAAAAAACTATCTATATGTATTAAAATATGTGTGTATGTATTAAAATATGCATGTATGTATACATACTCAATTTCATCACTTCTTCAAATACCCTTAGCTAATTAAGAGATAAAACCTCTTACTTCTTTTGCAATACATAATTATGTTAACATTATATTTAAGACACAACATACCCTTACTGTCTAGAGATGCATTCAGGAAACATCTTGATATTTTGTGGTTTTCTTATGCACATACAAGGAAGTACATATGCATGTATCAAGGGTTACATAGTTTGTGTTTTTATTTGTGACAGAAGCAGACAGGAATATTTGGATCAACTTGTCAAGGATCTGTGTGCTTATTATAGCTACAATGAATTTCTTATGGAGAAACTACTACAGCTGTTTCCTCATGAGGTAACATATAAAAGTATCAAAGAAGTAAGGATTGATCAAGTATAGTTGCACATTGGTATCTCAAACACTGATATCTGGAATACCATGGATATGTCATATTGATTCGAAAGTCCCAATCTCTTATTCTTTAAGTATTTTACTTTAGATATCTCGAATCCTCAGATATCTCTACGTATTTTCTCGGTACCAGTGGAGTTTGAGATATTAAAGAGGTTTGACGTATATAGTACATCAATGACCAAAGTTGAATTACCAGTAAAACCGCTGCAAGATTCTTTAAATATAGTTTATATTAAGTTGTCGGTGATATACTTTAGATATCAGAATTTCTGGAAGCCAATGAAGTACAAAGACCAGTTACAATTCGTACAAACACACTGAAAACCAGGAGACGCGACCTAGCACAGGTATTGTTATAATTGATGTTTTCACCTGCATTTGGAGGGAAAAAATTCTGTGTGTATATTTTAAGATGATGTGATAGTTGTCTACAAAAAGTTTCCATTAATTTATACTAATGCATTTTTTTTTAAATAATGAAAAGAATAATTAAACTAACTATATCTACTGTACAGATAGTAATAGAACTTTTTTGGATGTTTTCTTGTTGTAAGGCTTTGATCAACAGAGGAGTGAATTTGGATCCCATTGGAAAGTGGTCAAAAGTTGGACTAGTTGTGTATGATTCACAGGTGCCTCTAGGTACGATGTAACTATCAGAAAGTTGGAACTTAATTGTATACTATACACAATGAAGAAATAGTTTTTAGCATTACTGTATTTGTGAATTGATTTTTCCTAGGTGCCACACCTGAATACCTGGCTGGACATTACATCATTCAAGGAGGATCTAGTTACTTACCTGTTATGGCTCTGGCCCCACAGGAGAATGAACGAGTTCTGGATATGTCCTCAGCTCCAGGAGGAAAGACAACACATATTGGTGTGTAAAATGTTCCTATTTCATCAGTTTAAAGAAGATTAATTTTCGAATTTTGATATCTTACCTCCTGTATGTATTTCTTTTGAAGTGTAAACATACCTGATTGAGATAAATATAATTGACACGTGTACGATGCAGAAATGAAAATTTTATCAATTGCCTTTTATAATTTGATCAGCAGAGTAAAATATTTATTTCTCAATTCTAGCTGCTTTAATGAAGAATACAGGGGTTGTCTTTGCCAATGATGCCAACAAAGACAGAGCAAAGGCGATAGTTGGCAATGTCCACAGAATGGGCATCACCAATACTGTCATCTGCCATTACGATGGAAGGAAATTTCCCTCAGTAAGAGGTTACTTTGTCACAGTATCATTTTATATTAAAGCAGACATGTCCTCGAAACAGTATTCAAAATGAAATTATTTTATCCAGGTTATGCATGGCTTTGATAGAGTTTTGTTAGATGCTCCATGTAGTGGGACAGGGGTCATTGCCAAGGACACAGAGGTCAAGATGAATAAGGTCAGTGAAAGTCATGAGTCAGGACACAGGCTTTTGCAGCACTTAATTTGATATCCAAGCCATGTTAAAAGGGGGTTATAAAATATCAATGATTTTATTCCCAGGATGAAAAGGACATTCAGAGGTGCTCCCATTTACAGAGAGAATTGTTACTAGCAGCCATTGATTGTTGTGATGCCAAGTCTAACTCTGGTGGATACATTGTGTACTCCACCTGTTCTATTCTTGTGAGTATATTGCCCTTGAAATTATGAGTAGTTCTCTTGAAGTTTTGGCAAACTCAGCAATAAGTTATAAATATGTATGATTTATTTTCCAGGTTGATGAGAATGAATCTGTTATAGAGTATGCATTAAGCAAAAGAAATGTTAAATTAGTACCCACAGGGCTAGACTTTGGAAGAGAAGGATATGTTAAGTAAGTGCTATATGTGTCACTGGACCTGTAGATTTCTCAATATTAAAGTTTTGAAAAAAAAATTTTATCTGAAGCAAATTCAATTTTTAGAATACTACATCTGCAGTAAAACTCAGTTATTGTGAGGTCCTGGAGACCTGTGAATTCACTTCACTATATCTATAATTTGTTATATCCAAATAACGATTTTGTTAATATATTTACAGCGAGTTCAAAAAACAATTTTTACTTCAAGTATGACTACCAAATATGATCAAGGAATTATTAAATACAAAACTCACTTAGGGGTAGGAAAGCTTTAGGAAGAAGTGAATTTCAAATAGTTTCAGAAAATAATGTCATTTCAATATTTTAAATTTTGAGATCTCTAGAATTAACTACAAAAGATGTAAATTACATTGTTTTTAACCTACATGTATGTGGGACACAAATCACTTCGCTATAACAATAAATTCACTATCTCAGAGTTTATAACCATAAAATTTTACAAAGAATTGTTAATAATTTTGCCGGGGGTCTCATTAAATTTCACTATATTTGTAAATTTTGCTTATCCATGTTCGTACTAACAAGTTTTACTGTATGTTAATTTATTGAATTTTATTTTTTTGGATCATTAGCTTTGAGAAACACCGATTCCATCCCAATATGAAACTAACTAGACGGTTCTATCCTCACACACATAATCTGGATGGATTCTTTGTTGCCAAACTGAAGAAATTTTCAAACAAAATTCCAGGTGATCACTATTTTTCTTCAGTCCTGAAGATGATTAATCATACAGTGGTTAATATCTATATTGTCATTGATGAAATATATGAGTAAGATTATCCTACATTGATTTTAGGAAATTATTTCAGGTCATTAAATGATTTTTAGGGCCTTAGTCTGCGGGTACCCTATAGTGATTAGTCTGTCCATCCATTTGTCCATAAAATTTTCATTTGTCTTGAGCATATTTTCTCTCCCCTTGGTCCATTTGGATTCAAACTTCACCAACAGATTGCCCATGGGTAGAGGGTCTGCAGTGACTTTGAACCAGTTTTCTTGATCAAAGGTCAATGTTGAAAAACCTCTCTTTGTAAAATCCTTGTCCTGAACATATTTTCTCTCCCCATAAGTCCAGCTGTGCTCATACTTCATCAAAAGAGTGTTCGTGGGTAGGAGGTGTGAAGCGAACCAATTATCTAGATTAAAGGTCAAGGTCATAAAACCTCTTTGCATAAAAAATCTTCGTCTGGAACATATTTTCTCTCCTGTTGGATTGGCTATATATATTTACCTTTGTCCGCTTGTCTGGTACATGTACCAGTGAAAATTTTTTATGGACAAGTAATTATTGTCTGGCCCTTGTCCGATTGGACAAGTGATTTTTCTGTGAAGAAACTGTATTTTTTTTAAGTTGAAAATGAAAAACTAAAACTTGATGTCAATTTTTGTCATCGAAAGACCAAAATTGAAAGCAAGCAGTGCATTAATAATTAGCTTCAATTCTGATCGTAATAATAAAGATTATATAACAGTCTCTGTTAAATATTTTTCTCGGGTGTTTTTTCTCCCATGGGCCTGACGCAAACTGAGTCACCTGACTCAAACTTCACCAAAAGAGTGTCCTTGGATAAAAGGACTTTCATATTTATGTCCTTTTAAAAGCAGGGCCCTTTGAGATGACTACTCTCAACATTATTTTCCAAGTATGGTTTCTCTTGATAGTTTTGCTTTCCATTAATATTAAATCAAGATTTTATGCTCTTAAAAATTTCCAGTCTTGTGCGCATTAACAATGACTAGTATGATAAGATTTTGAGAAATTTCAATTGAAATATATGACAGGTGAGGAAGAGAAAACTCGTGTTGCAGCTGAGATGGCAGAGTCTGTGAATATTTCTGATGAGGGCAAGAAAGAAAAGGAGGAAAAACATGACAGGGAACCAGCTGGTGATGGGAAGGAAGTGTCACCAGTCAAAAAAGAAAACCAGAAAAAGGGAACCAGTAAATGGAATAAAAAAGACAATGGAAAAAAGACATTCAGACCTGGGAAATTTAAAAAATTCAAAAGCAGTGATGGAAAATCAAAGCAAATAAAGCAGAAGAAGAAAGCTAAGACAAAAAAATGAATCTATATATTTTATAACAGTACAGTACAAATTTGGAAAATGTACAGAATGAGATATGATAGTGTGCTAGTACAAGTCAAGGAGACTTTTACTTTAAAATGTATCTTATAAAGGATTTATGGACAAGTCATGCTGTAACAAACAGTTTTAGTAAAATGTTCATCATTTCTGAATATAATCCCGTTTTGATGAAGACGGAAGTACTGCATTTAAAGTACAAAGATCTCTTGCAAGAATCAATGAATGTATTCAAATGTACAAAGACCTTTTATAAAAAAATAAATGGCAGTGCAGGCTGTTCAATAATTTTGAAGAGAAGAGGTGAATTTGTCCATTTGAGAAGGCTGTTTTGGAATTATTCCAATAATTTGCCCATTATGAAATTAGAAGTAGTAAATACTGTGATTTATCACCTCCTGTCGCCCCTAATTGAAAACCCTGGCAGTGACTAAGAATATCTAATTTCACTGCCATTATACTTTTAAGGGAGCAGGGTATCATTATGTGAGCTCATTGCTCACAGTACCTCTAGTTTTGTTTTAGAGCTTATCAAATGCTTATATTTGAAGAAATATCTTTTATTTTTACACCATGTGATAGATAGTTTTCCATTCCAGAACAGAGAGATACAATTCTTATTTGAAAAAATATGAAAGATGATTTATTGTGGTGAAATATTAAATAGAGTATTAATGAATTGATAGTAAGGCTGTTTGGTAACTTTTCAAATTTTCATTTCAAGCCATAAATCAATTTTTTTCACCTGCCACTCTGTTATGAAAATTCACAAAGGTTTTTTTTTAATAATTGATCCATTAACATTAGGAATACTGAAATCTACTGAACCAGTACGTGATTTGTTTTTAAATGCATAATATTATCCAGTTATATCTTAAAAATCAAGCACTATGAATATATCTGGGCTGATAAATGTGAAATGTCAACTTTCTGAGCCTCATGGTGTCCAAGATATGCAGTTGAAAATTTGACAATAAAGAGCAGTCAAAATAAAGTATGTTACCATGGCTTACTTTACATTGCAGGCGCGGATCCAGGAATTTTTTCCCGGGGGGGGGGGGGGGGGGGGGGGGTTCCATCCAAAAACAATTTCCAACGTAAAAATTCCTTGACAAGCAAAAAAAAAAAAAAAAAACTAAATTCCCTTCCCTATCCAGAAAATTACCTGACAAGCCAAAACAAACAAGAGGCCCATGGGCCACATCGCTCACCTGAGCACATTGGCTAGACTAAGGCACAAATCAGTTCAGTAATGAACGGGGGGGGGGGGGGGGGGGGGGGTTGAATTTTAAACTACCTGATGATGCTTCCATGTCAATATAACAAATGAATTTGTTGTACTTGAGAAGATTTTAAAAGAATTTTCCCATTTATTTCTTTGTAAAAATTTGATCCCCCATTGTAGCTCCTCCCTATCTCAGGGGTCATCATTTGAACAAACTTGAATCTACATTACCTGAGGATGCTTCCATATCAATAAGACTAACATAGCTTTTCTGTTCTTGAGAAGATTTTTTTTTTCTGTATGTTCTTATGTAAAACTTTCGATCCGCCATTGGGCCACACCCTACCCCCGGGGGTCATCATTTGATCAAAATTGAATCTACACTACCTGAGGATGCTTCCATATAAATTTGACTCATAATGGCTTTGCTGTTCTTGAGAAGAAGATTTTTCTTATATATTTCTATGTAAAACTTTGATCCTCCATTGTGGCCCCGCCCTACCCCCGGGGGTCATGATTTGAACAAACTTGAATCTACACTACTTGAGGATGCTTCCATATAAGTATGACTCTTCATGGCTTTACTGTTCTTGAGAAGAAGATTTTTAAAGATTTTTCTTATATATTTCTATGTAAAACTTTGATCCTCCATTGTGGCCCCGCCCTACCCCCGGGGGTCATGATTTGAATAAACTTGAATCTACACTACCTGAGGATGCTTCCATATAAGTATGACTCTTCATGGCTTTACTGTTCTTGAGAAGAAGATTTTTAAAGATTTTTCCTATATATTTCTATGTAAAAATTTTGATCCTCCATTGTGGCCCCGCCCTACCCCCGGGGGTCATGATTTGAACAAATTTGAATCTACACTACCTGGGGATGCTTCCATTTAAATATGACTCATCATGGCTTTACTGTTCCTGAGAAGAAGATTTTTAAAGATTTCTCTTATATATTTCTATGTAAAAATTTTGATCCTCCATTGTGGCCCCGCCCTACCCCCGGGGGTCATGATTTGAACAAATTTGAATATACACTAGCTGAGGATGCTTCCATATAAATATGACTCATCATGGCTTTACTGTTCTTGAGAAGAAGATTTTTAAAGATTTTTCTTATATATTTCTATGTAAAACTTTGATCCTCCATTGTGGCCCCGCCCTACCCCCGGGGGTCATGATTTGAAGAAATTTGAATCTACACTACCTGGGAATGCTTCCATTTGAGTTTCATCTTTCCTGGTCCTGTGGTTCTTGAGAAGAAGATTTTTAAAAGATGCTATTCATTTTTCACTAATTCTTGATTATCTCCCCTTGAAAGAGGGCGTGGCCCTTCATTTGAACAAACTTGAATCCCCTTCACCCAAGGATGATTTGTGGCAAGTTTGGTTAAAATTGGCCCAGTGGTTCTTGAGAAGAAGTCGAAAATGTGAAAAGTTTACAGACAGACGAACTACAGACAAAATGTGATCAAAAAAGCTCACTTGAGCTTTCAGCTCAGGTGAGCTAAAAACGTAAAATCCATTTCCCAAACGTGAAAAACACCTATTTCGTGGTGGTGATGGTGGGGTCCTCATTTTCCAGGGGGGTCCAAAGTCATTTTTTATATGCTTCAGTATGTACTTTTAATACCTCTGCAAATTCTGGACCCCCCGACCCCCCTCTAGATCGGCGCATGCATTGACACTTTTGCTGCAAGAGGCAACTTGCAAGACTCCTTAACCTTATTGTGTTAAAATATGTACCTGTAACTAAAGATAAATACATGTAGCTGACTAAATAGAAAAGGTCCAGGGGCCTAGAAATGCTCACCTGATAAACTTGGCAGAATGGTAAAAACATCAATTGATGAGAATAAAGACAAGGAAAAGTTTACATATTAAGACCCCATTGTATTTTGTCTTATTTATTCATACTCACACTGGTTCTTGATTGGTGAAAGCAAGTTTAATTTGCTTTCAAATATAAAAAAATAACTGTTTTCACACTTTTTCAGCCTTCTTCAAAATAAAAACAAGAATATGTTGATTGACAGAGGAATGATTTTTAAAAAATTCTTTTACTTGGAGCCCCAGGTTGTATCAAGTGAATGGTTTTATGAACCTTGGCTTCATTTAGAATGTCCTAGATATGCATGTAAAATAACTTGAAAATGGATATGTGCAAAATTCATCATTGTAACCTACTTTTACAACTGTAGGTCAAAATGCTTTAACTGGAAAGGTTTGATGATTATAGGTCTTGTTAATATCCCAAATTTTGGGCTAAAGACTTTGAAATGAACAGCCAAAGGATAATGTGGGACAAAGAAGAAAGTACGTTATGTACCAAAATCGGCCCTGTCCCCAAATCTGACGAAGATTTTTTTGAAGCATGTCTAAGATGTCCTCTTTCTAATTCATCTTAATTTTTGTAATTATACCAAATCAATTTTCCGACAAAGCTATCTGAATATAGATAGTTTCTTTGGAAAATAACACTATGACGTTATGACGTCAACCTAGCGACGCTACGCAAATGCGAGGGTTGTTGGAAAGTTCGTTATATTACTCTCAAGAAATATTTTTAAAAAAACACACATTTTTTCATACATGTATAAAAAATATTTATTTTGTTGACGTGTGAAGTTTCATTCCATTCGATTTAACAGAAATTAATTTACTTAATTTTGAAATAAACATGTTTCAATTGGTAACCCCGGAGCTACATTATAACGTCAAAAAACGTTGCGTCATGGTGTTTTTTTTTTTTTTTTGTTTTTTTTTTTTTAAATCCCCCTTTACATTTCACACAGTTTGGTCCAATGGCCAATTATTAAAAACGTTTCTCTATCAAATTTAATTTATTTTGCTAACAATCGTACCAGTAGCGTAATTTAATTTTGTTTGTCCATGTTTTATCATTTTTTTTTATTTTACCGCGTACATGTAACTGTGCATTTACAAGATCAGCAACTGTGAAGCGCCTTTTTATTTCCAAGACTTTACCAACTCAAAGTTTCTGCTCAGATTTTTACAGATAATCCATTTTCTCACAGACCACCCTTGTCTGATACAGAGTTTTAATCATTCGAATACAGCTTCTATCATTCATACACTACAATATTTTCAGAGTTTAGTCTGAAGATTTCCAGAGTACAACACAAAATTTTGTTATACCTTTAAAAATTGGTTTCTATATAAATCTAAAAACATTCCCAATGTTGTACTGAGCGGCCATTAAAAAAAAAATCGATGTTTGACCGTGTAGTAAGATATTTGACCTGTCGATGAGAAATTGGACCGCTAAAGTCAAAATTGTGGGCGGGATCAACTAAATCTCGGTGTTCGACAGTGACGAAATTAACCAATTTTAACCGCAGTGATTTAAGTAAATTTACATTATGGAATCTGGCACAAGATACAAAGGTACATGTATAACAAAACATTTATTGACTATGTTCTGTTCTCGGGCAAAATGCGTTTTGTCGACCCATCGATCGGTTAAATAACGGCCTCAGACAAACAGTTTGGTTTTTGGGTCCGACAATATACGTACAAATGAAAGATTTATATGATTTTAAAACGAGAGAGAGAGAGAGATGCGTCACGCATAGTTAATAGTACGTTTATTATAAGTATTCGATTATTCTAATTAAAGCAAGAGTTTGATTTTTAAAAGCTAGACTATTTTTTATGCGAATTCCTTGGTTTGTTTTTAAGATTGCATTAAAACTTTTAACACTATTTTATAGAATGTCAGATTCCCTATAAAATTTTATGAGAAAGCATTTAAGATATTTTCGAAAAGTATTTGAATTTTTAATTAATAGATAACATTGAAAGGGTAGAATCCCCAGCCCATCCTTTCCAACGAGTCGCGGCGTCATTCACGAATTTATCTAAACAAAATGTGTTTAAAACGTTTCTATCGTCATCTGAAAAGGTTTCAAAAAAAAAATAAAAAATGAAAAGGTACTGTCATTCGATTAATAATTTTATATGTCACCGGATGGTCCTTCTCAAATGCACGAATCAAGTATCACACCCTCCCTTTACAAGCTGGTACATTG